CAGCGCCAGAGATTCGGCCCTACGATGAAACGATAGTTGATCGAAAAAAAACTTGTTTAGGATGCCTATAAAGTGTATGATGTGACAGAGGAGGCGAAGACTGTGGCTCAAAATATGCAGCGTATGCGAAATGTCACTGTAAAATACCTCGCCGATTTGTATCGCGGTCATATGGGTCAGAAGAAATTCGTCGATATGGTACTGTTACTAATGTTTGTAATTTTTTTATACGTTTTGTACTGTGTAACAGCAATACAAAACACATATTGTCACGGGGTTGTCTGTGTGTGTTTGTGTGTGTGTCCGCGGCAACTTGTCCGCAACTTTCAACTCGGGAACCACAAAAGCTAGAAAACTGAAAATTTAGGGTAACGTTCCCCAGCCACGTGTGACCCCGCAAATTTTTTAATTGTTTTTTAACTATTTTCCAATGTTTGAACTATTTTTGCATAGACAAAAGTACAAAGCAGTGAAAATCAATCTTTAACTGTTTTTCAATGTTTGAACTATTTTTGCATAGACTAAAGTACAAAGCAGTGAAAATCATTTTCTTAACTGTTTTTCAATGTTTGAACTATTTTTGCATAGACTAAAGTACAAGGAAGTAAAAATCATTACGTCTGGTTTTCAATGTTTGAACTATTTTTGCATAGACTAAAGTACAAAGCAGTGAAAATCATTAACAGGCAAATATCGTTATGGTAGAACTATTTTTGCATAGACTAAAATACAAGGAAGTGAAAATCATTAACAGGCAATCGTTCGATGGGTTGAACTGCACAAAGACGCATGATCGCACCGGCTAGTCTGGTGCGCGTTGCTATTTATTACAATTACTCGCACAAAACGCATGATCTCACCGGCTAGTCTGGTGCGCGTTGCTATTTAACACTGTTTTGGTTTGACAGTCTTTTGTTGCCTCAGTCATGGTTGAACGTGTTCGGTATCGTTCGGAGAGAACTTTCTTTCTGCGGCACTTGAAACAGAGCAAAACTTCTCGGATTTTAAACATTTTGTAACTTTCTCTGAGAAATTGTAGACAAAGGCCGTTTATTGTTAGATTATAATTTTGTAATTTACTGACAGGTAGCGAATTCAGCTAATGCCCAAGTTATTTATGAAGTAACTGTCATTTTTTTGGCCGTTTCTCGTCCTTTCAAGATGAAGCGCTTTAGTTTGTCAACTTCTTCCATTTGATATTTTATTGAGAATTATAGTTTGGGCAATGTTTTTCTTTTTTTTTCGCATATTCGTTTACGCGCTGCCAAGTCGTTCCTTTTTTACGTGTATAGTAAGTTTTAATTACTTTATTAACAATGCAAGCAATTTACAAGCAGTTTTATGGTCTTAAAACCTCGATTATGTCCCTGGACAATACACTTGGGAGTTTAAGTCGAATTTTGTAAGACCGTTTGAACAAGAATGTTTATTCCGATTTTGATATGTTCTAGGCCACACGACTGGGCCATACGCAGCTTGAAATGTTTGGACGTGGTGTTGGAATGCACGAGACGGATGCGCTGAGGTTCATCAGGAAACTTGTGATTGATGGAATTATCGTGGAGCGCCTTTACAATACGAAATTCGATACAACAGTGGCGTATGCGGAATTAACACAGCTCGGCCGAGAGCTGGCCAGTGGGCGAACTCGAATGAAGGTATCACTAAATTCGGCAGATTAGGACAAACAAAATAAGCGTTATTAGTAGGTATTTTAACGCGACCATCGTAGGAAATCCTATTTTAAATGCAAAGTTGCTCGGAGATAACTAAACAGTGGCCAAATAGTCCTCGATTTGATCATTAAAATAAGCCTA